TCTTGCATTTAGTACTTTTCTGAAAGTTTCAAGGGACTATCTATAATGAAAGCCATGTGCAAAATAACAATCGAAAAGAAAGGCAAATGATTTTTGGTCTTCATATTATCTAAAAAAAAAAAAAAAAAAAAAAAAAAAAAAAAAAAAAAAAAAAAAAAAAAAAAAAAAACATCATTTTAGCATCATGTTTTTAAGATGATTATAATTCAGCTTAATGAAATGTTTTCTTATGCTACTGTGGAGCATCTATATGGCCATCCTATGTATAGATATACACAAACACACACACACACACTATAATATACATGTGTACAGATAAGTATTAGTACAAACACACCAACCGCAGCGCTGCGCACATATAAATATATATATACACATTATTTTTTATTCATATGTATATAATATATATATGTAGTGTATTATATCTACATATGTATATCTGTGATGTGTATTCTACGTATATGTATAACTGTGTGAAAAGACAATATGTATATACATTTGTGTATATGTATATAATGTAGTAATTAACATACATTATTTCCTGTATACATGTCAGTATTCCTGCAGGGTAAACTGACAAAAAAATATCCATTGATTATTTGTTCATGTGATCCTAACAACTAACCTGTAATGCTTTTAAATGTACATGATCCTAAAAGGGTTAATCAGGGTTATGTATTATTGTTGTACATAAAGCTCTCGGGTTTTTACTAAGTGTTTCGAAAAAGAATCATGGAAGCACAGGTCACAAATAGTGATGAATCATCTTGAATTTGGCTCTTGCGCTTTTCATTCATGAGTTTCGGAAGAACCGTATGTTATGCCAATTTATGCGACCAGTCGGATTTTCTTTTTCTTTTCTTTATCTTTTTTTTTCCCCTGCTGAAAAAAGAGGAAATAAAATCATAGGACACATGTAAAACAAGTATAATTTATTTTAAAATTAGCAAAAGCTTTATTCACTTTAACATTATCCTAAAGAAAAATATATTGTTACTTAAACGTACATTTAAGATTAGATTACAATTTCAGATAATGGACTATGATTTGCTATGCTGCCTGTGGAATCTTCGGAGCCGTGACAGTCAAGACGCCATCGGAAGACATTGCGGAAGTCACGGCCTCCATGTTCACTTTGCCTGGGAAGCTGAAACGTCGATAGAAGCTTTTCATGGACTTGAAGTCATCTTCTTCCTTTTCCACTCGACCTTCCACCACCACCTGCTTGTCTTCCACTCTAACCTTAACATCTCCACTCTTGAAGTCATGAACATCCAGTACAACCTGTATATAGAATCAATTAAGACTATCTATTTTTCTTATGTTTTCCTTATATATAAATAATCTCTTTCCGTGACCTACATCATTTCTGGAAAAAAAAAATGATAGTTTTTTAACGATTTCTTCTTTCTTTTGTGTATATTAATATTTGCGATCCACATGAATTTTAGATCGTAAAACTAACCTTGTGATTCTGGTCGTCTTCGCTGAAGGCCATGACTTGGTTCTCTTGCTGCAAATTGCGCTCTCTTACACGTCTGTAGCTACTCATCAGATCACTAACGGATTTGCCTTCTCCCCACGTATCCAGGATTTGGTCGATGGCTGTCTCAAAGTGCTTCCGAATATCCTCGAAGAAGGAATCATGGAAGAAAAGTCCCTTCTCAACGATGGGGAGAAGTGAATCCTCATTGCATTTAGATTCTTCCGGTTTCTGTTCAGTAAGGGTGGTAGCATTTTTGTTCTCCATTTTACTCTAGCATAAGTCTCGTGGAAATGTAGATTAAGCTACAGCTTGCTCTGTTCTCTCACGGAGTGTTGTTTCTGTTGTGATTATCAGGAGGCGGCTGCTGCTGCTTTTATTTGGCGCGAGTTGGAAGTGTGCCCAATGCCCACCTTCGTTTGGACGCAGGATTATGGTATGCTTGGCAACATCTTGATTTGAAATTTCTTGAAACTTCCAGATTTTAACAAAGTAATTAAGGTGAATGCATACGATGCAACCATGCGGTAAATGCTTCAATACTAATTAAGCGTCCTTATACATATTCCAATACTACATCATCATTTATATACAGAATATATATACACATACATACATATGTGTATATATATATTCACGCACACTTCTATATAAATATATATATCCATATATGTATAGATACATACATATATACAGACATATATGCAGATACACGAACAACTTATAATCCTTTGCCACAAGATATATATGTAAATATAAATTATAGATAAATATATTTACTATTTGTGTATATCGTAAATGTTTTTCATTTTTGTTTTAAGTATTACCCCACCACCAATTAAAGTACAAATGTACACTTTGCCTGGGTAATTTACGAAATATGTATGCATGCGGTGTCTATATGTATGTATATCAATACGCGTGTATATATATGTATATGCATGTGTATATATATATATATTGTGTATGTATTATATAATTTTCGTGGTCACAATCTATGCTTTTCGATTAGTCGCAAGGATCATATGTATATGAAATATGCAGTATATTTATATTATAAATCTATATTTATATGCATGTATGTATATCACTAAAAATATAGATATGTATATATACATATATTTTGAATATAACATACATATAATCATAACATAACATATATACATATATATAATTTCAAGTGTGTGTCATGTAGCAGCGTGCACACACACAGTACTACTTCAATGAATAAATCCAAAATTATTTGTCCATGGTAACTGAAATCATCGGATATCAAGCTTTACTTTTTCGCAGTATCTCTGACGAAAATAACTAGTGTCACTCACGGTGGCTTTTCGCTGAAACAGCAGCGTTGCCTGACTGAGGCTTCCCAAGCGCTTGGGTATGCTTCATACTCGTCTACATCTCATTGTACCCTTAAACCATCTCGCGGCTACGAAATATTTTCGTTTTAATTCAGTGTATCATACAAGAAAAAAAAAACGTACCAGAAAATTCAAACCGTGATCAGAGTAACGAAATGCGATACACATTCTCCCTTTCCCCTCTTATTTTGTTTTACTTTGTATCTTTGCTCCTTCGAATCACGTGGTGTGTGCCATAGGAAGCCCTCTGCGTGCCCGTCTGGCTCGGGAGCAAAGGTTTACACATCATATATATGTATATATTCTAACAGATGGTGTCTATGTAATATGAAATATATGTGTCTGTGACTGTTGTGTATATAAAGCATATATATGTATGTATATATATAGGTATATATTATATATAGCATAATATATACATAAACGTGTGTGTGCGTATCATACCTATCGCTATATATGTATGTATAATACATATGGATGTATGTCTATTTACATATGGATGTAGGTCTATTTACATATATAATCTACTTTCTATGTCTGCCTGTGCCCATATTCTTATATATCCTGCAAAATTAATAGCTTCATGTACATTTTCTGCTTCGGATATATACAAAAAACAGTGATTTGATTAATAGTTCATAAATCTGACAACTAACCCTTTAACATGTTATCATTTATTATTTCTTAAAGGCTCATTCAGAGAGATGTAAGTTTCCTCTTGCACAAAGCACTTGGTAGACGATTGTTCCATTTTAATTGATATTGAAAAATAATCATGGAAACACAGGTCACAGCAATCGGAAGAAGTGAACTCTCTTTGTATTAGTATTTTTTCTGAAAGTTTCGAAGGACTATCTCTTATGAAAGAAATGCAAACGATTTCTTTTATTATTATCTAAAATAAACAATCACTTTAGCATTCATTGTCTTTAAGATTATATTATAATTTCAGCTAATTAAATTTTTTCTTATGTTGCCTGTGGAATCATCTATATAGCCATCCTATGTATAGACATACACAAACACATACACTATAAATATACATGTCTATAAGTACAAACACACGCGCGCGCATATAAATATTTTCATTTATTTATTTGTCTGTTTTATACATTATATATACATATGTATGTGTATATATAAATATAAGTATATATCATATATATATATGTATGTGTAAATATGTTTAATGTGTGTGTGTTCTACATTAATATAAGTGGTGAAAAGATTATATTATATATATATTTGTGTATCTGTATATAATTTATTTAATAATGACATACATTTATATCCTTATACATGTCAGTATTTCCTACATGGGTTTAATTGACATAAACTACCCATTGATTTATTAGTTCATGTGTTCCAACAAAACTAACCTGTATATGCTTTTAAACGTACATGTCTCCTAAAAGGATTAGCAAAGGTTGTGTTTCTTATGTTGTACATGAAGCGTCGGTAGACCAATATTAGTTATTTGATTTTTTTTTTTTTTTTTTTTTTTTTTTCAAGGAATCATGAAGCACAGGTCACAATAGTGAACCTTTTGATTTGGCACTTCACCTTTTCTTCAAGAGTTTCAAAGACCATCTGTTATGACAATTTAAGCGACAATAGATTATCTTTTTTTTTCGTAAGTTCGCGAAAAAATGAAGGCAGTGAAGTCATATAATCACATGTAAACAAGTTATAATTCATTTGAAAAATTGCAAAAAGGCTCTTTATTCATTTTAACATTATCCTACAGAAAAATATATTATACTGAAAGTACATTAAAATTGTATTACAATTTCAGATTGTGGAATATGATTCCTATGCGGCCTGTTGGAATCTTCGGGCCGTGACATCAAGACACCATCGGAAGAATATTGCAGAGTTCCACGCCCTCCATAGCCACTTTGCCTGGAAGTTGAAACGTCGACAGAAGCTTTTCATGGACTTGAAGTCGTCCTCTTCCTTTTTCCCTCGACCTTCACCACCACTGATTGTCTTCCACTCTAACTTTAACGTCTCCACTCTTGAAGTCATGAACATCCAGCACAACCTGTATATAGAATCAATGAAGGGTATTTGTTTTCCTTGTTTTTTCTTTTCATTTTCATTTAAATAATTCTCTGTGACCTAGATAATTTCTGAAAAAATCCTTACGTCAATTTGATTTTTTTTACCGATTAATTCTTCTATTTATGCATAGATTATTGAATTGGTATTTTGCGATCTGCATTGTTTTCTGATACTTAAGTAACCTTGTGATTCTGGTCGTCTTCGCTGAAGGCCATAATGACGTGGTTTTCTCCTTGTTGCAAAATTACGCTCTTTTACACGTCTCTGTGCTATCATCAGATCACTCAGGAATTTCCCTTCTTCCCATGTATCCAGAATTTGGTCTTGGCTCTCTTTCAAAAGTGCTTCCGAATATCCTCCGATGAAGGAAATCATGGAAGGGAAAAGAAAAGTCCCTTCTTCAAAACGATGGGGAGGAAGTGGATCCTTTTGGGCGAGTTCTGGTTTCTGTTTCATTATGAGTGCTACAGTTATTTTTTGTTCTCCATATTCTCTCTTGCTTTTATCACTTCCCAAGTAAGGAGGTACCGTCTGTGTGGAAGAAATGTAGATAATGCTACAGCTTGCTCTTTTGTTTCTCAAAGTGTAGTTCTATATTGTGGTCTAGCAAGAGGCGGCTTGCTAATGCTTTTATGTGGCGCGAGTTGGGGTGCGCCCACTTTCCACCTCCATATGGCCGCGTCACGGAATCTTGGCAAAACTTCATTGGAATTTCTTTGAAACTTCAGCTCTCAATTTAAAATTAATGCATTCGAACAACTCTATGATTAAAAAGCTTTATACTAACTATGCGTTAATTGTATTTATATATTCTTTCAGCTACAGGGGGCAACATTTACATATAGACACAAAAATGATGTACATATCGTTTATATACAACAAACACATACACAACATGTCATATAGAGATATATTATATACAATTCGCTCACTCATTACAACATATGTGTATGTATAAGGACCATTGGTATGTTTAATTTAGTTATGTTTATCGTATCTACATATATCTACATATGTGCAAAGAGAATATATTACGTATGATTGTTGTGGGTATGAATGTCTATATACATATTATTATACATATATATGGTGTGTGTTATTGTGAGTGTACTTATAGCACATACCTTATATGTTTTCATTATTTTTATACACAAACACAAAACACGCATATAAATATATACAGCAGCGTGGTTCACCCACACATACTATGTATATATTATATACATGTGTGGTTTGTAATATACAGATATGGTGTCGCTGTGTATATAAATGCATATAAACATATACAAAATTATGTATGGATTTACACATGTAATATTATATATTATATGTATATAATAGATGCAGTGATGTGCTGTGTGTGCGTATAATATATATATATGTATATATATATGCATGTCTAAGATATGGTTGTATGACTATTTACATATATATCTACTTTCTAGTTGTCTGTGCCCATATTACTTATATATCCTGCAAAATTAATAGCTTCCATGTACATTTTGCTTCGGATATATTACTAAAAACAGTGATTTGATTAATAGTTCATAAATCTGACAACTAACCCTTTAACATGTTATCATTTATTATTTCTTAAAGGCTCATTCAGAGAGATGTAAGTTTCCTCTTGCACAAAGCACTGGTAGACGATTGTTCCATTTTAATTGATATTGAAAAATAATCATGGAAACACAGGTCACAGCAATCGGAAGAAGTGAACTCTCTTTGTATTAGTATTTTTTCTGAAAGTTTCGAAGGACTATCTCTTATGAAAGAAATGCAAACGATTTCTTTTATTATTATCTAAAATAAACAATCACTTTAGCATTCATTGTCTTTAAGATTATAATATATAATTTCAGCTATATAGCCATCCTATGTATAGACATACACAAACGCATACA